AGCTCGGTGGGGGCGGGGCAGACGGTGCGGCTGCGTCAGCCCGTGGTCCCGCTGCGCCCGGGGCGGCGGCGCCTGGTGGCGGCGCTAGAGAGCCCCCGCCTGGGGCCCCTCCACGGGACCCTCCCCATCGACGTGGCCCCCAGCCCTACTGGGAGCACTGGGAGCACTGGGGAGGACGGGGGGGCTGCCCGACCCCGACCCCGACGCAGGAGGAGGAGAGCGGGGGGGCAACCCCCCCCACCCCCCGCCGGAAGCACCGGGGGGTGACACCCCCAATTTGGGGGGTGGGGGGGCGCTGGGAGAGGGGTTGGGGGGCACTGGGAGCACTGGGAGGGTGACTGGAGGCACTGGAATGGAGATTGGGGGCACTGGGAGGGGGATTGGGGGGCACTGGGAGCACTGGAAGGCTGACTGGGAGCACTGGGATGGGAATTGGGGGGCACTGGGAGCACTGGGAGGCTGACTGGGGTCACTGGGGGCACTGGGAGGGTGACTGGGAGCAATGGAGCCAAGTTGGCTGTATACTGCGAGCACTGGGAGAGTGACTGGAGGCACTGGGATAAGGATTGGGGGGCACTGGGGGCACTGGGAGGGTGACTGGAGGCACTGGGATGGGAATTGGGGGACACTGGGAGCACTGGGAGGCTGATTGGGAGCACTGGGACCAGGTTTAGGTGTTACTGGGAGCACTGGGAATGAGATTGGAGGTTACTGGGAGCACTGGGACCAGGTGAGGTTGATACTGGGAGCACTGGGATTGAGTTTGGGTGTTACTGGGAGCACTGGGACCTCGTTAAGGGGTTACTGGGAGCACTGGGATTGAGTTTTGGTGTTACTGGGAGCACTGGGACCCCATTTAGGGGTCACTGGGAGCACTGGGAATGAGATTGGAGGTTACTGGGAGCACTGGGGACGTTACTGGGAGCACTGGGGGTTTACTGGGAGCACCGGGACCAGGTTTAGGTGTTACTGGGAGCACTGGAGCCAGGTGAGGTTGATACTGGGAGCACTGGGAGTGGGTTTGGGTGTTACTGGGAGCACTGGGACCCCGCTGAGGGGTTACTGGGAGCACTGGGGTGGGTACTGGGAGCACTGGGAAGGTTCTCGGGCCCTTTTTCCCCCCCATTTTCCCCTTTAAACCCTCCCGATGACGTCACCCCCCTCCCACTGACGTCACACGCGCGCCCCCCCTTTTCCCCTTTAATAAAAACCCGCGCTCTGACCCCCTCTCCGTGACGTCACTGCGGGCGCGCCGGAAGTCGCGTCATCAAACCGCGCGCGGCGCCGGGTGGGGGCGAGCGGCCAATGAGGGAAGGAGGGGAAGGGGCGGGGCGACGCGCTGACGTCACTTCCGGGCGCGCGGAGCCGCCGCCGTTTTTCCCGCCGCCACCGGAGCCGCCGCGCGCGGGGGGGGGGGGGGGGGGGGGGGG